GGCACCTTGTGGTAGTAGAGGTTGTTTATGTGGTCCCTGGATCTATTCCGGAGAGAGTCCAACATGCCAATATGGATGATTGGAGGATGGATTGTCCCTGGTGGATTGTATTGTTGTATAATGCTGTAAGCGGGCTGGAAAGGTTCCTTTTGTCACGCAATCATGAGTATTGCTATGGTACAGAAGGGCCTTGAGCCAAATGGTTGCGGGCGATCAACATTGGTCAAAAACAGACACAAAAACAGACACAAATTTCTTTTGATCGCCGGCGCTAGATATGAAATATCTTTGGCTTCTTGGCCTTTGGCCGTAGCCTAGATTTATGCCGTAGCCATGTGTATTGAAATACTGGCTTCATCCTGTTTTCTGCGCGGATGAAATGTCTTGATTTGCAAAATGAAAAACAGTCTGTACTGATTCTGTGAGATACCTAGATGTATCTAAAAGATGATGTACACCGCTATGTACATGCGGGACGGATGTGACACTATTGATCTCTCACGTTTCATTCCACAATCTCTGGTATGCCTTCATGAGGGTGTTCGCGGACTTGTTGGCGTCTCCGGTGATCGCATCGCATTGATACAATGTCACGAGCGGCATGATTTCGGTTTGAAGATCGTCCCGTGCTGCTCCATGGCTGATTGATGGATGGATGTGAAAAACTCCAATGGTAGCATATGGGAGGTCTGCCCTCGTCACATGGCGGCTGTCGAATTCGAGGAGTGAATCGTTGGATGACTTTGGAAACACGCCACGAAATTCATCACTTTGCTCGATGTGGATGACGACAATTTCCTTGTTGCGCCCATGTCCTTGGACAAGTGTGCGTGGCGGCAACCTCGGTCCAATGTATTTCTTGGATTCCCTGAACATGGATGTTCCTGTGGTTGCCAGGCAGTCATAGGTCGGGATGTCGTATTCATCATCAGTGCAATGGTTCTCGGTTCCGAAGAAGCATCTGAACATACCGAATGTAGTTCCCCAGTTTTGACTCTTTGTGGAAATGTGTCGTGCCAATAGTTCCACTCTTGCGGAAGGTCCGCCGCGGACAAAGCATGCGATCGGTTTGGATGACCATTGCCTGATAACTATGCCCTTGTATCCAAACCGGATGAACGTCTTGATGAGGTCCTTGGGTTTCTCATCTTGAGGACTGAGGAATGCGTCTGCTTCATTTAGGCATATGATGTGCGCGCTGTTCTGCATCATCATCCTCGTGATTGGTCGATCCTTCATCGCCATGTTATTCACGTCCTTGTTGTCCAGCTTTGGATTCCTCGTAAGGTTTCCGTGGTTCATGGTGAGCATGTTGATCGTTATGGATGAGGTGAACTCATGTGCCTTGAGATGGTCCACAGGAGGACGGTCAGTTGGTTGCATCAGCGATTCCAGGATGTCAGCAAATGCTTGGATGACCTCTGGTTTGTCATATGTCCTGAGCTTCTTCAATCCAAATGGAAGCTTGATCGGATATCCTGATGCTGGCTGTGCCTTCCTGAACTCTTCCATGGATGGCCATTCTCCTCGGTGGTGGAAATAGAATTCTTCTTCCTCGAGGTTGACATCTGGATCGACATGTGCCAATGAAGCTCGCTCGCATTCTGTCAATTCGGGATGAGCTCTCTGTGGATCCCTGTCGTACTTCTCCATGAAGCGGGTGAAGTTCCTTTTGGTCTCCTTGAGCTCTTCCTCGGCGTCCTTCTTTGTCATGTCCATTTCAAGGTATGTCACCTTGAATTCCTTGATGAACTCTTCTAGGTTCTCGGGGTTGTGATACGGATCTCTCCCCGGAGGGTTCCATGTTCTCCTCATCATTTTCGTCCTGATCGGTGGAGTGCCGTCGCTTCTTGGTCTCTGTGGATGTATCTTTTTCGGATTTTTCCTTGCTTTGTCGGTCGGTATTCACATAGTTGAAGAAGGCATCGGCGAATTCATGGATCTTGGTGTCGTACATCTCAACGTCTTCACGAGTGAGAGACTTCTTCATGATCCAGTTGTTGCTCATCATGATGTTCCCATCAAGATCAAATGCTGCAACAATATTCTTCGCCTCGATGGTTTGTCCTGTCAACGCTGTTCGCTCTTTGGAGAGTCGGATGCCGTAGTCCTGGTCCTTGAGGAATGCAAGGATCAACAATGCATCTCTTCGAACCTGTTGGCGCATGTGTCAGTGCTGCTTCTGGCGCGTCGTCGTCGAGGATAACGTCGTCGATGCATGCCATGTGGATGTGCGCTCTCCCGGAAGGGTTTGACTGGGATTTCCCTGATTTGAGCCCGTTCTCCATGATGCTGATCAGCTGATCTCCATATGTTGCGTGGAACATGAACGTGATGGGCTTCTTCGCGAACGGCTTGATCTTTCTCTCTTCTTCAATGGATGGTGGTGCCGGCCTTCGCATTCTGGATTTTGCCTGGGCTGTGCCTTCATCTTCTGGGGCGCGTCGGATCTTGAAGGATGCGGACTTGGAGGAATGGATTCTGTTGGAAGATCGTAGTCCGGTTCTTCTTGACGAGGCACGCTTCTGTCCAGGCCAAAGGGGGCGTCCAAGGTATTGGAGATCGACTTGTCGAGTATGAGCGCTGTTGCATCTCACGTAGAATTGCATCTCTGGATCATTGAGGAATCCTCTCCCATCAGGCCTGAGTGCATCATATGCGGATCTGGATGTGAGGTTGTCGATCCATCGATTCCTTGGAACAATGCATCCCTTGTCCTTGCGTTCCTTGTATGACCCGTCCACGGATGGATACACAAAAGCAATCTCGAAACGTGCCTTTCCATAATCCGGGAACATAGTCATCAGGAAAAGTCCTGGCTTATTGCCCATGAAGTTCCTCGCATGTGTAATGCATCCCAATGCATCGTAGAGCTCAACGGATCCGTCAGGATTCATTTCCAATTGTCGTCGGCATTCTCTGTGGGTGCCCTGATTTGGATCATGTCGAAAGCATGCGGAAAACAATCTGCTCAATCGCTCGATTCGCCAGAGGATGATGTTTTGCCTTGGATGGATCCATGTGGAAATAGCTGCAAACCTGCTCAGCATTCTGGACGGTCCTGTCAAGATCAATCATGCGGTTGTGGCATGCCATCGGGATGATGTCGGTTCCGAAATCTTCCGGCTGAGCATTGGTATAGCAGCAGATACTGTAGACCTTCTTGATGAAGTCCATGTATTGTCTCTCTGCATGTGGGCTTCACCTTGGAGTTGGCTGCCAGTAATCATTGAATCTGGCTCTCAACCAGATTACCCTGGCTCCAGGTTCTCGTTCATGCTCAGGAATGACGTGGAAGTCCGGATACAAGTCGAGGATGGTAGAGCACTCCCTGTAGTATTCGGCCACGAAGGTGAGGAATCGAGAATTCCAGAAAGGTCCTGGATGTACGGATATCCTCTGGAGGTAGATGCCGGTATCTGATTCTTCGGATGTGTACCACCGATCGTTGGATGTGAGAGTTGTCCGCATCGCTGGTCGCCTTGGAAGTGCAGGTCGTTCACCAGGATTGTTGTCGGATTCTGTCTCCTCGTCCAATGTATTCTTTGTGCTGGCTTAGCCTTTGACACAAGCCTCAATGTCGGAGGTGGTGACTTCGGAACCAGTTTCGGATGTGGCATCGCCTTCGGCTTCGGATGTCCTGCGGGAGGTTGCTCTTCTTCATCCGGATCATCATCGTTGTCGGTATCTCGATCGTAATCTGCCTGCTCCATGTTGACATTATCTGGATGTTGAGAGGCGGATGGATTCTCATCGGCGACCTGCTCCATGAACCAGTCGGATGTCTCATCTTCCCTCGTCGCGAGCAGGGGATTCCTTCAAAGGAGATGCACGTCTCTTCACTAGCGGCTTCGGCGAAGGAGCCGCAGTGCCGGATCGTCCAAAGATCCTATTGAGAATCGGCATGTCTTCGAGGTGATCAAGCATACACGATTGCAAAGGTCGGAATGGTTGTAAACCAGGTGGCTGCGGATGCAGACACACATTTCTTGAGATTCAAAATGGGTCAAGTGCAAAAACACGCATCACGGATTTGAGGAATTGAAAATGTGCAAAATGAAAAACTCATGCGTCAGAATTCGTGGACATGCGGATCATGCCCAGGTTCCCCAATAAGCAAACATGGATTCTGCTATACCGACTCCTGCAAAGGCAATGATGTCGGGTCCGTGCTTCGTATTGTGTGCTAGCCACTCAACCAAAAATGCCTTTTTCTGCAACATAGTACGGAAAGGTGGATGTGCATCAACATTGAAGAGATTGCCGGTGAGGACGGCCTTGATGAGCTCGTCTGCTTTAGCTGAATGCTTGGTCAGCGAATCTGCCATGCAATCTTCACTTCCTACATGTGCAAGGTCATGCATCTGTTATGTCTGACCAGAGACCGCGAAGAAATAATGCTGAACCGTAACAACGCATCAGTCCGTGCAATTCTGCAACAGTAGTGGACATTGTTGTGGCGGTGATCTTATGCGTCTCATAGTCGACCAATGAGCCTCTCGAGTTCGATGAGCCCTGGCGAAGATCTCTTTGTTCTGCAAGAAATATGACATGCGCACGTTGGGATGACTTATCTTCATTGTTGCGATAGGATGCATCTGGATAACCGACTATGCGTGTCTTGCCACGAAGGAGCCAGAATCTCATATATGCGGAATGCTTTTGATG